AGTTTCATGGATCATAGTGGACCTCCAATATTACTCATGTCAAGTTTCAAGTCTTAGATCACAAGTTTACTCAGTCAATTGCTCAGATGACTGAAAATCAGCTGTATTGGGTAAAAAGTCAATTGTGGTCAACTTACAGCCAAACTTCAATATTTTTGACCAATATCAATATTTTGAAGTCATATGCATCAATTGATCAAATTTGGATCATGATTCCTCAAGAAAAATGTTTAAATCATCAAAAGGGTAAAATGGTCAAAATTAGGGTTTTGACTGAGAATGACTGATTCTTGACTTTTAATTTAATACATAACTTATTGGTTTGAAACATGATATCAAGGATTCAAGGACATCATATTGACCTAATTTCATGGATCAAAAAATTTCTCAAGATCAGTGGATTGATAGATGAAATTTGGTCAATTGAAGAAAAAGTCAACTGTACACTGAAAAGTTAAACTTTGACTTTTTTGGTCTATATTAAGTTTCAAAGATCAAAATTCATCAATATATTCAATAATATCAATATTGATCATCAAGAAGTCAAGAAAGTCAAAAGTCAATTTGAAAAGTCAAAACTTTTCAAGACTCAGAAATTTTTCTAAGTGTTTTATACATATTTATTTCATAAGTTCATACTAATTTTTCACCATGATGAAAAATGATTCAAAGGAAACTTTCAACATGAAAGTTGTAGATCTTGATGAATTCTACAACTTTGTATTAGAGGTTTGATGTCCAAAAAACGCTTAGACGGAGAGCCCATGAAGTCATGACATTTTCATCTAACACTTAGAGAAATTTTCAACAGACTTTGGTCAGGATTTTATCCCAACTTCTTGAAGACCCATCGTGGCACGATGTAACTAAATAGAAATCTCAATATCAACTTATGTAAATAATACAAACAACTTTTATGTCTCAATAGATCAAAATAGGTTCATCTAACAAGCTCTAACCAATAAAACCTAGCTACTCATACTAATAAGAATCATAACTGAAGTAATAAAGAAACAATAATTGAATATTTGGTTAGAGTTTGGCTTCCGGTGATGAAAACCTTTTCTCTAGAGCTTTAGATATTTATTTTCCGTCTAATTTTAGTCATAAGAATGTCCATCCTCTTTCCTACGCAGTTTTCCCTTTTTATAGCAGTAAAAATGTGTTAGAAAAGGCATAAATCACACCCACAATGTGTTTTGTAACAACTGCTTTGCACCCACCGAGGTTGTTTGTCACGCCTGTGATAAGATTTGTCGTGCCCAATATTTTTCCAATAGGTATAGATTTTTGTTAGCTTTCATTTGAAAAAAAATCCCCACCTCAATTGGAGTTAAGAAACTCTAGCTATGATCACATTACTGGACATACGTCATATGGGGAAGCTCTAACCAGTTAAAAAAGGTCCACAAGTTAGTTGGCAACAAGTATGCAGGTCCAAGAGTTAAGGGGCTCTAGGAGTGAAGAATATTCAAGAATTTAACAAAGTTATCTTATGCAAATGGAAGTGGAGGATGTATATGGACAATAATAAGGCCTTTTGAGTAGAGATTTTAAGGGCTAGGTATGAAAGTTTAGAGTAACAAATGTTGAGAAGATCCATAAAAAAGGTAGATGTAAGGAGCTTGTGTGGTGGTAGGACATGGTGAAAATTTGGTAGTCTGTATATGTATTGAGTGCAATGTAAGAGGGGGGGGGGGGGGGGGGGGGGTGAATTATATTTTTGGGATTTTTAAAGTTTTTAAGTGATTGTTCTTATGATCTTATTTTTCTGGAACTCTTTAAATGAACTTGAGAATTAAAATACAGAAAAATAAATGAAGAAAGTAAATAAGACAATGATGTATATTAGTTCTCTTTTTCAACCAAGGATTCATCTAGTCCCGTCACACCCTGTGCGAGATTTTCACTATTATTAGATCTTTGTACAAACTTCACACCAAGACTTATCCTATAATCTTCTTACAACAACAAATAAGCAAACCACTTCCCCAACAACACCGACAAATGAAAAGATAATACCTCTTATTTACAAACACCTGTAGAAAGTATAACCACTTTCCTTACAGATAAAATCACCATACACTTGGTGATAAATACAACAAACAGATGAAATATTATACAAACATACTTTGTAGCAGACTTAATCAAATTAAGACTTTACTACTTTTTTGATATATAAAAATTCAAGATGATCTAAAAATTTAAGTGCTCTAGTGTTTTCTCTAAAATATTTCACATATGTATAAAAATTATACAGGAAATTTTATTTTTTGTTAAATATTATAGACACTGGAAAAACAAAAAATTATTCATGAAGAAGATGATTTTGAATTAAAAAAAATCCGTCTATTTATAAGAATCAAGCGTCTCTTAGAAAATCAGAAAGAATGGTTAGAAAATAATCATGAAATCATGAAATCATGTCATTATATGAAAAGGTTTCATGACCATTTGAGATGAAGAGGTATGGAAATGGTTAAAAAAATTTCAATAAAAAAAACAGATGACAATGAATATTGTATCATGACAATCTATTGCTCACTCCATAACATTCAAAAATATTGAAAAATACACAATGAATATCGTTTACTTTATGACGATAATTGATTGTCATGCTTAGAATTTCTAAATTTTGCTTGATAGAGATTTTGAGAAATAGATTGTTTCAATGACAAAAAGGAATGTTTGCTAAGTTAGAGATGCAACGTGAAACTTATGCATGCTTAAAATTTTATGATTAATTCTTAAGCATCTAAATCTTATAACAACTCAACTGCACACTGTATCTTGGTCTATGATCCAATTCCATCGAAATCCAAAACATTTATGTAAAATTGATACCTTGATTCCAATCTTTCCAATATTTTTCTTCTTTTATCTTTCTTCTAAGTTGTCTTCATCAAAACTAAGCTAAGAAGGATGAACACATCTTTTTCACAGTATGGTAATAATAAAGATGAAGGTTTTTTTAGGAAACATTAAATGCATATTAGAAAAAGGAATTGGTATTCCTTTTTGGGAAGATCCATGGTATGTAAATCAAAATTTGAAGAACATGTACCATGAACTGTTTAGTCTGAGAAGGAATTAAGATGAAGTTGTTTATCAAATGGGATAGTGGTCAAATGATGTTTGGAACTGGAGAATTTAGAGATTAAAGGATGTAGTAGACTTTGAGCATTAGTCTAGCAAAGATGAACTGATTGAGGTGTTGGCTAACAATGCTCCAACAATAGATCAAGAAGATATATTTAAATGAAATGAAGAAATCAACAAAAATTCAGTGTTAAATCTAGCTACAAAGTTTTAGAGAGGGTCAACCAGAGGGATAAATTAGATGAGGAAATGACCGAAACTTGTAGAGGAATGTGGAAAGAAAAAGTTCCTATTAAAATAAAAACTTTTGGTCGAAGATTATTCCTGAATCGGTTACCTAGTATAGAGGAGCTGAGAAAAAGAAATATTGTGTAAAGAGCTCAAGATTTGTGTTGTGTGTTTTGCTATTAGGAAGAAGAAATCTTAGACCAAATCTTCCTAAATTGTCCAATTATTCATGAAGTTTGAGAATGAGTGGAAAAGTGGATCACTAAAGATATACATTTAGAAGGGTCAATATGGAAATCATTGACTACTTTCAGAAGAAACTTGAAAAATAATACGAAAGAAGACAAGGAATGAGTGATATGGTTGGCTACATCTTAGTGCATCTGAAATATTAGGAACAAGATTTTATTCAATGATGTAATTTGTAATGTAAGAGATCTAGTATAGTCTATCAAATTTGTGTTGTGGAAATGAAGTATCATAGGAGAAATTGCTAACTCCAACTGTATAGTTATCTCAAAGGTTGATATTAGTTTGTAATTTCTTGTATGGATCGTTATGGTGGCTATTGTATCGGGCTAAAATATCCCTTATATTCTGATCTAATATTATCTCTTGCTGATAAAAAAAACAATCCTAAAATCATATAGTAAATTTAAGTTTGTCATTATGCATTATATTATACCATAAACCTGTTGAATTGACTTATTTGATTTTAAGTAAAATATAAACTCATGAAACTGATTGATGGAGTTTGTGAAAATATCTTAGCATACAAGCTAAGTATTAGATCAAAAATATAAAATTAGCAGTAGAAGGAGTTGATAAATAAAAAGTAAGACAAAGATATATTTTTAGTTAATATCTTATATATTAAAATTGTTAAGATGTCATAAAAATTTGTAAGTTAAAGGACTAATTGAAGTAGTATGTAAAGTAACATTATAAACTCAATATAAAAATATTTAAATTCACAATAGAGTAACACCTCTCTCAAATAGATTAATGTATAGAGAGGGGTTCAGTTTTGTCAAACAAATTTTTTATGTATATATAGGATCACAAGAAAGTGTGTACTAGAAGTAAACTCCTCTTAACTTTTCTACAACCTAAATCAAATCAAATCTTAATGGTTGATATAGTTTTCTCTCTCATTAAATTTGATGCCACCTACTACATTCAAATTGAATTTCATAATAGATCTCATTCATATATATATATATATATATATATATATATATATATATATATATATATATATATATATATATATATATATATATATATATATATATATATATAAAGCTAACTAGTTCTTTCTTTCTTCATCTATTCAACCAACCTTACAATCACAAGCACACCATGACTCCTGAAGGCTACACTTTTCCAAGATTCATATCTCAAGAAACCCTAAATAAATTCCACAATATAACCAAACACAGACAATTTCATCCAGATATAAACTTCCCTATTATCCATCACCAACCATTTTACGGTCTTCCAAAGGAGTTGGCTGAAACTGTTGACAAACACAACTGGAAAACCTTTGTTGAACACTCTTCTGATAATTATCTGTACGCCCCAATAGTTTAAGTATTTTACCCGTGCATTCTTGATCACACACAAACATTTGTTTTTGTAAGAGGGTTTCCTGTGTATTTTAGCTAAAATACATGAATTTTCACTATGGACTCATCAATAATCCTGAATGTGATGATGACGATGACATAGTAGATGAGTATCAAGATTTAAAGAATACTATCTCTGAAGATAAGCTTAGTTCTATAATGAAAACCCTAGAGGATACTGATTGGAAAGAAGAGAAACGTAAGAATACTTTGAAGGTCTCATGGGATGCTTTGAAGCCGGTACCTAAAGTTTGATACAAATTTATTTATGCTAGGATTTTGCCGAGTCCCAATTTTAAAGATGTTGATAGAGATAAATTGCTGTTGCTGCATTGTATTCTTGAAGGGCGTAGTATCAATGTGGGTAAGATTATATATGATGAGATTATTGATTGTGCATTTAAGAAGGAGACAAATAGTGTGTTATTTGCTTCTCTTATCAGTGACCTGTGTATTGAAAACGGGGTTCATGCTGAGGATGATGATGGGGTTTTGATGAATCAAGGAACCATAGACTTAGATTCTGTTAAAAGATTTTTCAAAGATGAAGCAGATGAAAGAGAATGGTTGGAGGAGGAGAAATTTGTTGGAGGTGATGAAGCTTTTGTTAGAAGAATCATATTCAAGCATATGCAACAAGATATGAAATTATGGAGGCTTTATAAAGAGGCATTCATTTATCAAAGGAACATGTTTGAGTTGAATTTTTATAATGGAGGTCCGAGTCCTCCTGAATTTCCAGATGAAATCCTTGAACCCTTCATGACAGATGAGCCTATGTATGGACAAGATCGAGCTACATGTGTAGCGGAAGATGAATCCTTTGTGCATGATAATGGTGATGATTTAAATGGTAGAGAGAAAGGAAAGAGTAATTTGAGTGCAGCTCCTCCATTTTCACAATCAGCTACTAGAAGATTCGAAACAAAAGTAAAAACTTGTCCAAGTGCATCTCTTATGGCAAACAAAAGCAAGAGGTGTACTGAGCATGAAGGAAATGAAGAAGAGGAGGTGATGGGGATGAAACAAGTCCATCAAGTGGTAAAATATAGTAAGAAGAGGTTCAAAACTACAGCTTGTAGAACATTCAAATCCAAGTTCAACATACTCTCCTAATCTAACAATGCCCTATTGTTAAGCAACAATTTTCTCAAGTTCTCATTTTGTGTGTTTGAAAGCATATAGCATTCTACCTTTGACATGTATTTCTTTGATCCTGATAACAAACATTAATTTTGGATAGTTTAATCGTGATGTGCACAACTTTTCTTTCACCTTTAGTTGTTCTCATTCAAATAATCTATGTTGGTTATTTTATTTTCATTATAATCGACAATCTTAATAACACAATTTGAATCATCTCCCCAAAACTTTTGGAAACGAGCCAATACTAGACAAAATAGTCAAGACAATCTTTGTAGTATGGTGAAATAGCTATACTTGAGCATCGTTGTAGTCCCTTTTAATATACACTTAATCAACTATTACCATAAATGATATAGAATAGAGTTATCATTCATTAGTTACACTAAGATTGATATTAACTGCTTTTCGGAATCTAACATGTTGTCAAGACAATCTTTGGATTAAAGAAAATCTTACAGTCAAGACTTAGAAGAATTAAGAAGCATTGTTTTGAGTTAAAAATATACTTATTTATTAATTGCATGAAAAAACCTTAAGCAATGAGTAATCAGACATGCCTTTTAACTTTTATTGTCTTCATTTAATTAACTCATTATTTCTTAATATGAGATTTATAAATTACAAATTATAAGTTTATAAGTTAAGTATTTCATATAAATAGTATGCAAGTGAGTGGAGGAAAACCCATTACAAATTTTGACCTCAAAAACATTCACCATCAAAGATAAGTAACCCGTTATCCTAGCCTCATGTCTTTCTAACATACCCAAAATTAACTTTTAATTTTGGTGTATAAATATACATGTGCAACATTGAAATAATTGTGAGGGGCCAAATTCTTTTACTCATTATTTTCAAGTGTCCTCATTACCAATTGTTCATTCTTTTTTATTAGGTTGACCTGGGGTTAACTTCAATATTAACCCCGTTTTGGTCAACTTAATTAAAAAAGAACGGATAATAGATAAATAAAATGGCAAAATCACTAGACATTTTTATTTTTATGCTTTGTTTGGCAATTATCATTCCTACATTGAATGCCAATGTATTAGAGAGCAATGAGTATTGGAAAGAACAACGGCCTGAGTTTGATTCATATTGGCAGGAAAGGGCTAAAGTTGCAAAACAAGATAATCATGCAGCTTATTTTCCTGATCCTTTTGCAGTCTCCGGCAATTTTACCGCTTCTATTTCCGAGTGAGTATTTTGCTAATTACACCATACCTTATCATTTCATACCATAGAAAAAATCACTCTCTATGTAAAAGAAAAAACTAAATGTATTTGATATTTTTTACAAACAGAATCATAGGTGGAAAGAGCACAAGAAGGAACTTGAAGGGACAAAAAGGAGGCCAATGTTTGGCCACAAACCCAATTGACAGATGCTGGAGGTGTGACCCAAATTGGGCTAACAACCGCCAGAAGCTAGCAGACTGTGTCCAAGGATTCGGCAGAAACACCCGCGGAGGTAAAGGCGGTCCAATCTACGTCGTCACTGATCCTTCTGACAACGAATTGTTGGACCCAAAACCTGGAACTCTCCGTCACGCAGTCACCCGTAACGGTTCCCTTTGGATCACATTCGCACGCAACATGATGATCACACTCCAACAAGAGCTTATAATGACAAGTGACAAGACCATTGATGGTAGAGGAGTTGATGTTTACATTGCGAACGGAGCCGGAATTACCATCCAATTTATTAAGAATATAATCATCCATGAAGTGAAGATTTACAACATTCAAGTCCGTGAAGGTGGCATGATTATAGATTCTGAGAGCCATTATGGTATAAGAACTAGAAGTGATGGTGACGGTATTTCCATCTTTGGTTCAAGTAATATTTGGATTGATCATGTTTCAATGAGAAATTGTAGTGATGGTTTGATCGACGCGATCATGGGTTCGACTGCTATTACAATCTCGAACAGCCATTTCACCGACCACAACGAGGTGATGCTTTTCGGGGCTAGTGACTCGTATACTGATGACAAAATCATGCAAATTACATTAGCATTCAATCACTTTGGAAAGAGATTAGTCCAAAGGATGCCAAGAGCAAGATTTGGTTTTATCCATTGTGTTAACAATGACTACACTCATTGGGAAATGTATGCCATTGGTGGTAGCAGTAACCCTACCCTTATCAGTGAAGGTAACAGATTCATTGGCCCCGAAAACAAATTCGTAGGCAAGGACCAAATCAATGCTAAAGAGGTAACAAAGAGAGAATACACAGAAGAGAAAATATGGACAAGTTGGCAATGGAGATCGATCAACGACGAGTTTCTGAATGGAGCATACTTTGTAAACTCGGGACCGGACCTAAAGAACAGACCATTTTCAAGAAAAGACATGATCACAGCTAAACCAGGAAGTTATGTAGGAAGGCTTACAAGGTATTCTGGAATCCTAGGATGCATTGTTGGTAAACCTTGTTAGTTTTGGTCATTTTATTATTACTACTCATTGCTACAAATTTGGCATCACAAAGTAGAAAAAGAATGATGAGCTATATGGAGTGTACTAACATAGATTTTGCCTAGTAGTTTTTTTAATTTATTTCTTGTTTACTTTTCCTTCGATTTTCATCAACGAAAAGATGACTCAAGAAATATTTAATTTCAATGTCACAAATGTAAATGCAAAAACAGAAATGTTGAGTTTTAATGCCAATGAAAAAATTTCATTTTTATCATTTATGTCATTTTCCTCATTTTCTCTTACATAGTATTGTAGAGTCACTGATTGCATTATTGCTCCTGTTGTAACAGATAAAGATGCAGGAAAATAAATCAAAATAATTAGAAGATGAAACCTAGTAAAATTCAATGAAATTAATGAATCTATAAATTTAAAGACAATGTTTTGGGAATCAAGAACTTGGAGCTGAGGATGAAATGTCCTGAAAAACTATCATACAAATAAGAGTTTGATAATCAACTATTGAGTAGAAATATTCATTATTTTTTACCTTCCCTTGGCATTTCTACACCTGGGTCAATATGAGGATTATCTTGAATTTTTTTAATCAAAATAACTAAATCTATAAAAAGTTTATTCTCAAATTACTCATCTTAAAAAAAAAATCAACTCAGAACACATTCAACCGCCACTTGCATTAGAAAATATAAAGCTAATATCAATTGAATTGACGCCGCTTCTATATAATACTTAAGATTTAAAAAGTTGTAAATGTTGGGTATGATTTAAATAAACTATTATTCATACATTATCGCGATGAAATTAAATTGTCAAAAACAAATGTATTTAAGGTTGATCGATAATATTGTAGTGGAGAAATGGACTAAGTCATTTACCGACGGTCGATGATGGGGCCACATGACAACAAACCATGTGGAATCAATAAACTCTATCTTTAAAGGTATTAAAAACCTACCCGTAACCGTGTTGATGAGAAACACCTATTTTAGGTTAGAATTGTTGTTTGAATTCAGAGGAGAAAATGGAGTTTAGTGTTATAATTGGGGAAAATATTCAGTGAAAGTTGCATGAAAGTGATGAAGGAGGAAACTAGCAAAGCTAGCACACACGCGATAACATACTTTGACCATCATAGACACACTTTCAGTGTAGAGGAGACAATGGACCACAATGAAGGAAGGGTAAAGAGATATTATCGGGTCGAACTACATATAGGTTAGTGGGAATGCAGAAAGTTTCAAGTCTTCTGTATGCTTTGCTCCCATGTCATTGCAGAATGTACATATGTTCTCCAGGATGCTTCCATGCATCTATCTGGCGTTTATAAAGTCATAAATGTATTCAGTATGTAAAATAATAGCTTCTCAGTGGTAGCAAAAGAGGAATATTGGCCTACATATCAAGGGAACATAATTTGGCAAAAAAAATTTAGGAAGGAAGAAAAAAGTTCGCCCCAACAGCACGCGTATTAAATCCAAAATGAATACGGCTGGAAAAATGGTAAGATTATATGGTATATATTGTCATCCTTGAAATTCTGGTATGACAGAACTCAGATATCCTATGACATGTTAGGACATCTGATCCGACATAAACAAATAGGCAAGGTATTAACAATAAAAACAATACTGAAAAGCATAAACAACACACCATAATTGTTAACCCAGTTCGGAGAAGCTCTCCTACTCTGGGGGCATACCAAGTCAGGGACAAATCCACTCAAATAGTATCAATTCATAGACCCTACAATAAATCTCTAGTTTACGACCTAATCACTTAATCACTATGCTTGCTAGATTTCTATCTAAGACTCCATGAAAACACACTTCCATGATAATCACTAGCCAAGACTCTTGACTAAGATCACAACTTGGAGTTGCTTACAAGCTTCTTCCAAGAACAATACTCAAATCATTACATCACATCTTCTGAGTGAGAACATAATGACTGATCGATCACTATTCTTTCTTGTTTTCTATCTATTATCCGGCACGAAACCGCATCATTGATAACACCTTGCTTAGTTTTTTTCTACTGTTTTCGTCACGTATTTTAATTTTCACATTTTGTTTGTTTGCATTAGTTTAGTTTGAATTTTGGATAAATAAGATACTTTTGAAGTCTTGGTCTGGTGGTTTTTGTATTTTCAGGTCCGGGTGAAATTGCACAAGAATAGAGGCAAAATTGACAAGTTCTAAGGCATTTTCTCTAGAAGTCCAGTGGCTGACACGGGTGCCCGTGTCACCTGACACGGCCCGTGTTAGAAATGCTAATGCTTAATTAGAGAAAAGAGGATTCAAGTGGCTGACACGGGCACCCGTGTCACATGACACGGCCCTTGTCAGAAATTCTGATACGCAAGCTTTTGTTGAAGGATTCTAGTGGCCAACACGGGTTCTCGTGTCACCTGACACGGCCCATGTTGGCAGGTGCGAGACAGAGAAGTGAATTTTTGAAATCGATTTGTTTGAATTCATGGAGGGTATTTCGGGCTTTCTGCATAGCTGTGGGGTGATCTGACA